CAGTCTCATGACCCATGAGATCATGACCTGAGCAAAACCAAGAGTTGGGCACTTAGCCAACTGAGCCACACAGGTGCCTCTAAGGAACATTTCTAAAGCAACCCATGGATTCAGTTAAAAGTATGATCACGAGAACTATCTCACTATTCTCTGTTTCCTCCAATGGAAGGGCCCAAATTTGGAACCTCCCCAAAACAATAAAGATGCCTAAGAAATAGAAAGCATATCTCCCATAATCATTATTTTCAATAGCTACCTTTTCTACTCTTTTGAGTGTTTCATGAGTATCAAGAGTGCTGTTTCACATCTCATTTCTGTATGGATTCAAACACAATCTCCTAAACGGAAAGCATTATCTTTAGTAGTAGTACTACCACTAGAACAGCATTTATTATGGACTTACTTAGTAAACTAGATCATGAATCACACAGGAAAAGTGTGTAGTTAAAGGACTCTTGGAAGCTTGTCCTTCAAATCAGGAGGGTAAGCCATCTACTCTCATTAATGTCATTACATAATTGGAAACATTCCTAAACAAACAAAACGGCCTCTCTTATTGTCTTTTACTGACATGGTGGCCCAGCTTAGAATCCAGGTGTGTAGGCCTGAGGAGTTTTAGCATTTCTGAGAACATGTGGTGTAAGTTTTTAAAAATTCTGTGATTCTAGGAATATTTTACTTAAATTAAAATTTATTTTTGAGTAGTTAATATAAACATAGGGTTTGAAATTCAAAAAGCACAAAAGTTCACACACATAAGTCTTCAAGTCTCCTTCTTATCTTTGTCTGCCAATAGGTTATACTCCAAAAAAGGCAAGTCCTGTTACCAGTTACCTGTTGATATTAACAGAGATATTCAATGCATACATATATGTAATAAAGTATTATTAAGCAAATGATGGCACACAAAATATTGTTCTGCACCTTCCTTTCTTCACTTAAAAATGTGTTTTGGACATCATTATACATACATAGAGCTGCTCTTTCTTTTTAACAGTTGCATAGTGCATGGAGATACACCATAATTTATTTAACTATTTATGATTATTTAGAATCTTCCCAATCTTTCACTATTAAAAAATTCTGCAGTGGATATCTTTTTACATATAGCATTTTGCCATGTACAAAAATTAAATTAGGACAGATTCCTTTTTTAAGATTTTATTTATTTATTTTTCAGAGAGAGAGAGAGAGCGCAAGCACAAGCAGGGCGAGCGGCAGGCAAAAGGAGAAGCAGACTCCCCGCTGAGCAAGGAGCCCGATGCAGGACTCAATACCAGGACCCTGGGATCATGACCTGAGCCGAAGGCAGACCAACTGTGCCACCCAGGTATCCCCATTAGGATAGATTCTTAAAGTTTAATTGCTGGTCAATAGTTATGTGCATTTGTATTTTGATAAATATTGCCAAATAACCTTCACAGAGGGTGAAATAATTTGCACTCCAACTGATAATGTATAGGAATGCCGGTTTTCTCACCTCTTCTCCAATATGATTTGTTTCCAGATTTTTTGTTCTTTGCCAATATGATAGATGAGAAACAATTTATCATTGTAATTATAATTTGCATTTACATTATCGGTGAAATGAAATATTGTCTCATATACTTACAGAACATTGACTTGTCTTTTTAATGAACAGTCTGTTCATTTATTTTTCTATTGGACTGTTGGTCATAATCTTGTCTTTATAAATTCATAAGGGTTTGCTATAAATTCCGGAGCTTAGTAAGGCATAATTCTAAACATGAATAGAAGACAAAAAAAGAGTAACAACCACTAAATCCAAATTTTATGTATCCACCAAATGTTATTACAGTATAAGATATTAAGATACTCCAGGTTTCTTTTTAAAATATATTTTAGTAAACTCTTGCTTCCTTCCTCCATTGAAAAATTACATATAAAGCATCTCCTCTGTGGCAGACTCTAGGCTAGGCCCTGGGGCTACAGACATCAAAGACAAAGACACACTTATAGACAGGTATTGATCTACAACCATCAGAAGATACCATGGCATCTTCATGACTCAATAGCCCTCACCTCCTTCAACTATTAACTGACTACTTTGTCTTCCATGTGTGATACTGAGGATACAGTGGTGAACCAAGACTGAGAAAGGGGTCCTTCCTTCATGGAACTTGCAGTCTAATTGAAATTCCCTCCTGACACTGCTTGGAATAGAAATTCAAAGAATTTTATATATTCAGGGAGAAAGAGCATATGCATTCATTAGGTAGCTGAGAGAAAAGGAGTCAGGAAAGCAGCTAAGATCTGCCTTGAGAAGTACGTTGGTAGTATTCCTTTTCCTTAGGGAGGAGTGTGGAAAAGAAGCCAGAACTGCCCCTAACTAGCTCCTGACACCTGGCTGTGAGGTGATAGAGAGGATTGAAAGACTCGGTCTGGATTCTTACAGAAACAGGACCTTTTTCTTTCTTTCTTTTTTAAATTTTATTTAATTTTATTATGTTATGTTAGTCACCATACAATACATCATTAGTTTTTGATGTAGTGTTCCATGATTCATTGTTTTCGTAAAACACCCTGTGCTCCATGCAGTATGTGCCCTCCTTAATATCCAACACCGGGCTAACCCATCCCCCCACCCCCTCCCCTCTAAAACCCTGTTTGTTTCTCAGAGTCCATAGTCTTTCATGGTTCATCTCCCCCTCTGATTCCCCCCTTCATTTTTCCCTTCCTTCTCCTAATGTCCTCCATGCTATTCCTTATGCTCCACAAAGAAGTGAAACCATATGATAATTGACTTTCTCTGCTTGACTTATTTCACTTAGCATAATCTCCTCCAGTCCCATCCATGTTGATGTAAAAGTTGGGTATTCATCCTTTCTGATGGCTGAGTAATATTCCATTGTATATATGGACCACATCTTCTTTATCCATTCATCTGTTGAAGGGCATCTCAGCTCTTTCCACAGTTTGGCTATTGCGGACATTGCTGCTGTGAACATTGGGGTGCATATGGCCCTTCTTTTCACTACATCTGTGTCTTTGGGGTAAATACCCAGGAGTGCAATTGCTGGGTCATAGGGTAGCTCTATTTTTAAATTTTTGAGGAACCTCCCCACTGTTTTCCAAAGTGGCTGTACCAACTTGCATTCCTACCAACAGTGTAAGAGGGTTCCCCTTTCTCCACAACCTCTCCAACATTTGTTGTTTCTTTCCCTGTCCATTTTGGCCATTCTAACTGGTGTAAGGTGATATCTCAGTGTGGTTTTGATTTGGATTTCCCTGATGGCTAATGATGATGAACATTTTTTCATGTGTCTGGTAGCCATTTGTATGTCTTCTTCAGAGAAGTGTCTGTTCATGTCTTCTGCCCGCTTTTTGACTTGATTATTTGTTTTTTCAGTGTTGAGTTTGAGAAGTTCCTTACAGATCTTGGATGTCAGCCCTTTGTCTGTAGTTTCATTTGCAGTATCCTCTCCCATTCTGTGGGTTGCTTCTTAGTTTTGTTGATTGTTTCCTTTGCTGTGCAGAAACTTTTTTTTTTAAGATTTTTATTTATTTATTTGACAGAGAGATAGACAGCAAGAGAGAGAACACAAGCAGGGGGAGTGGGAGAGGGAGAAGCAGGCTTCCTGCTGAGAAGGGAGCCTGAGGCGGGGCTCCATCCCAGGACCCGGGGATCATGACCTGAGCCAAAGCCAGACGCTTAACTACTAAGCCACCCAGGTGTCCCTGTGCAGAAGCTTTTTATCTTGATGACGTCCCAAAAGTTCATTTTTGCTTTTGTTTCAGTTGAGAAACAGGCCCTTTTTCTTGGGCAATTGTGATGACCTGGAAATGGCACAGTGTGCTACCATTTTGAGTGAGAAAAAAAGCACTGTGGCAGAAAGAATGACTTGGCACAGACCAGTGGTTTGTTTCTTTGGGTTAGAGGGCAAGGTCTGCTTTCCTTTAGAAGAAAGACAGTGGTGAGGCCTCCACAGAAGCCCCTTCCCATCTACTTCCCTTCCATCACCCCATGAGCAATGCAAAAACTTGGGAAGGCTACCATAGAACCTCCAGCACAAGTGGTTTACAGGTACAAAGTTATTTAACTATTAAGCCTCTTTAATTAGTACAGAGTTGTTTTCTTCATGTGCATGCTGAGGACCATGCATATCTAGTTGCAGGAAGTATTGTGGACATCAGGAGGGGAGGCAGGGCTTGAGAATGGCATATGCACACACAGAGGTAGTTTGGTATTAATATGCTTCTCTTATCCATCACTATTTTCCCTATATCTTTATCCCACCTTACCTTCGACTATTTCAATGCAAGAAACATGGTAGGCAATAAGATGAGAGACTTAGAGGAGAGGAGCAATAAAAGACTAAGATGTTTGACATAGATCAGCAAGTCAAACCAGAGTGGTTTTCCAGACGCCAAGCCCACAGGAGCCCAATTCGTGCAGAGAATTAAGTGCTTGGAGCAGCAGCTTGGAGGGTCTTCTCTCATAGAGGGGGACACGGCTTTTGGAATAGATTAGAACATACCCTCTTCTCTCAGTCTTGCACTCTGATTTCCCAACCCTCTTATCCCCTCCCCCAACCCGCCTATTTAGGTAGGCCTAGAACTTTGGAGAAGTGAATGTGTTAACACGACACTGCGGTATCCTTCCGCATGATTGGGCCAGAGCGGATTCAGCGACGCCACCTCCCCATACACGCATGCGTTTCAGTTCAAGATGAAAAAAAAAATATAGTCTTGGTTGGGGGAGATCCTAAAAGAGGGCAACTAATGCTGAGACCCTTTGATATTGGTAAGCTTCTCTCCGTATCGCGCTGCCTCCTCTATGTTCAGATGTCGCCCCAGCCCTTACCAGGATGAGAAAAAGCTAGAGCTCACCGACAGAGGGCGGAGTGGCGCTGTGCAAAGCTTGGTATCACTCCGCTTCCATCAGGCCGGATCCCCTTACACTGCGCTGTAGCTCCTCCCGCTGCAGATTTGGGTACTGGGGACGTGGCAAAGCAAAGTCTGCGGAGGAAAAGGTAGCTGTTGTTAATTAGTCACTAGGCGTGGGTCCCAGAGGAGCTTTGGGGACGGGAGGAAGGGAATACGAAAAAGTGGCAGTTGTTTGCCAGTTCCGGCCCTCAATCTGATAAAGCAGGTATCGCGTCCTAAATCCCAGGTGCCGGGCCAATCCCCAGACACAGTCGCCGCCATTGTCTCGTGTCCTCGTGTCCTCGTGTCCTTCTGACTGTCCGTCCCTCTTTCTGTAGGGCACGGCACCCCTTGAGGCAAGGAAATAAGAAAGCTGCCTCTGATCCAAGCAGAGCAGGTCAGTGAGAAGGCGGGCATCGCTTGGGAGTGTGGAAATGGGTATCAGAGAGGAATGTGGGATACGTGATCTGGTCGTGGGGCGCGGGCGGTGAGAGGGAGAGGGGGACAGGGGTAATTTGAGTGGCACGCAACTATAAATTTAAAATGATCTTCCTAGCTTGATTTCCAGACACTAATCACCTCCGACCGTGTTTGGGAAGGTAAAGGAGTATAGTAGCGGCTTCTAGCGGAGAAATGGCGGTTTATATGATAGGAGGAGGGGCTGCTGCTGTTGGTGAGAACAAGTTGTCAGGGGAGCCCTGGGAGGGAGAGTGTAAAAAGAAGTGTTTGATAATCAAGGCCCTGGATTAGAAAATGGTCTCATGTCCTGGTTACTAGTCTGACCATTAAAAATCGAGTCTCTTCCACTGTGTTTTCGTTTGGTCCTTGGATGTGTATCATGTGTTTATATATTTAGGTCTGTTCCTAAGTTTTCGGTACCGCATGTTTTTGTAAAGATCTGTAGAAGGCCGTGGACCTCAAAGGGAGGGGATAAGAAAAGGAAACCTGGCCTAATTTTTGCGGAGTGGGCAGTGCTTGGAGTTGGTAGATGGCTAGGACTAGAACAGGCAGGAGTCTGGGGGAAACTCCAGATCTCCTTTCAGCATGCTTTCCAAACAGTCCTCCCTTACTCCTGTTGTGTTGCAGAAAATGATAGGCTTTAGGGAGAGGAAGGAAACATAAAAGCCTAGATGAAATTTGGAGATAATACTTTTCATTGATTCCCAGCCAACTTCCATGGCTTGTCTGAGCATTCCATCTCTACTACTATCACCACTATCTTGCAGGGATGTTTGAGTTGTCTGTGCAGGAGAATTATCAGACTTTTGGAATGGAGCAGAGGAACTTGGAGGGAGAAGGAGGAAAAAAGGGCCACAGAAAATTTTGGCAAACAGGTACCTGTTTCCAGAAAGGATCAGTGTCCCAGGTGTTGATCTCTACCAAGGACTAAGTCTCCATTGTCTCCTTTGTGTGGATTTATTTATCTCTGCATTTGTGAATCTCTGGGTATAGACCCATCCCCAGGTCTGTGGAACTCTCAGCTGTGAAAGTTTGCAAATGGTAACCCAACTTGAACCTAGGAAATAATGAAGAAGAGAAACATGCCCTGTGTCTGTTAGGATTGGTGAGAGGGTAGATGGATGGGAGAGGATTAAGACTTAGGAATTCTGTTCTCTTTTGTTTTGCCAGTTTACTAACCCCTCTTTGGTCCCTTGCTGATTTAGTTGTAAGTCTTTGGAAGCTTTGAGTATAGAAGGGTAACACTTGTTTTTCTGATTTCCCGCTGCTTTTCTTATTCTTATGCTTCACCCAGGCCAATTTTATTTTTTTTTATTTTTTATTTTTTTATTTTTTAAAGATTTTATTTATTTATTTGACAGAGAGAGAGACAGCAAGAGCAGGAACACAAGCAGGGGGAGTGGGAGAGGGAGAAGCAGGCTTCCTGCCGAGCAGGGAGCCCGATGTGGGACTCAATCCCAGGACCTTGGGATCATGACCTGAGCCGAAGGCAGACGCTTAACAACTGAGCCACCCAGGCGCCCTCACCCAGGCCAATTTTAAACTAGAGAAATGCAAGAGCAGTCACTGAACAGTAAAATGGTGGGCAGCAGGGAGAAGGAGGATCAGTCCTGAATTAGGGCAGTTGTGGTATAGGACAGAAGGAAGGAAACACTAGACAAACTACAAATATAGGGACCAGGGACCAAGGTCTTTCTACCAGGAGGTCAGTTTCCATATCTTCCTATTTGTACTTGTAGGTCTGCTGTAGGGCTTGTCAACATTGGAAGCAAGGAAAGGAGGAGAAAATTACTCCAGAGCAGTGAAGTTTGGTATGAGTATGGAGACTTTCCCAGTAGACCTGTAAGATGAAGTAGTAGTCCAGCAGGGATAAAGAGCCAGTCTAGGGATTCCTTAGTCTCTCTCACCTCCATTAAGCTTTCCCACTCTCCATATTCCTGGTTTGTGTCTGGAAAGATTAGTAGCACCTGCAGTTTTGTAGAGAGTGTGAAATGAGGAGAGAGTTTGATAATTATCTACCTCTGCCATTTAGCACTGAATGTCCATACTCTTCTGTCTCTCTGTGCTAATCAACATAAGAAATAAATTGGAAAAGACTCAAAGCCCCCATTTCCTTCCTCCACCCCTAGGTCCAACTTCAGTGGCAGATCTGGTGTCCTTGGAGTGGCTGAAGACCACCACCCTCCACAGGGCTGCGCTCAGGCACACAGCCATTCTTCCCTTACCTGAGTGAGCTTCCTCTGCACGTTGTTTATATCACTGGCAGAGCCTGTAGTTGGAAAGGGGGCCGAGTGACGAATGGACTTTGTATGAAAACACCAACCTGGGACAGACCTTCAGTCAAGGTTGAGATGGGGTTGGGGTATATAACCTGGCCTTGCCTTTAACTTGGATCATGACTGGCTCTGAGGCTAAAGCAGGGGCAGAGCAGGGGCTGGGGCTGCCCTAAAAGCTGCAATCAGTGGCCCTGCCAACACTAGAGCCAAGGCTAAGATCCAGGCCAAGGCAGTGGCTGAGGCAGAACTGAAAACAGGACCAGTGCCCCAGGCCAAGGCTGGGGATGGAGCAGTGGCCAGGACACAGTGACCTACACTGAGGCCGTGACTATGACAAAGGATGTGGGCAAGATGGAAGCTATGACTAAGAATAGAGTCATGACTGAGACTAAGGCAAAATCCATGGCAGAACCTGGTATAGTGCCCCAAACCAAGCCAAAGGTGATGCCTATGGCCAGGGTCAGTGCAGTGACCAAGTACGAAGTCAAGGCTGGTGCTGGACATGAAGCCAATATCAGGTCCTTTGCCAAGGCTGATGATAAGGCCAATATTGAGTCCAGGCGCCAGAGAAAGAGAGAGGACGGCATCAAATTCAGGGCTGGGGCTGGGGACAGAGCTGGTATTGTAATCGAGTCCGGTGATGAGGATGAAGAAAATGTCTGCTCCTGGTTCTGGACTGGAGAAGAGCCTAGTGTAGGATCCTGGTTCTGGCCTGAAGAGGAGACTCCTTCTCAAGTTTATAAGCCTCCACCTAAGATCCAGGAAAAGCCCAAGCCCATACCCAAACCAGAACTCACTATAAAACAAAAAGCAGCAGCATGGTCAAGGGCCAGGTATAGTGTCCTAGTCCCAATAGAAGGAGGGGAGCCATCCTTGCCTGCAGAAGGGAATTGGACTCTGGTTGAGACCTTGATTGAAACTCCTCTGGGGATTCGGCCTCTGACCAAGATCCCACCCTATAATGGGCCTTACTTCCAAACCTTAGCTGAGATCAAAAACCAGGTTAAGTATAGGGAAAAGTATGGGCCCAATCCAAGAGCCTGCCGCTGTAAATCACATGACTTTAGTTTAGAGCCTAAAGAGTTTGATAAACTCGTTGCCCTACTTAAGTTAACTAAGGATCCTTTTATTCATGAAATAGCTACTATGATAATGGGCATCAGTCCTGCTTATCCATTTACCCAAGATATAATTCATGACGTAGGTATTACTGTTATGATTGAAAACTTGGTCAATAATCCCAATGTTACAGAACACCCTAGAGCTTTAAATATGGTAGATGACAACTCTGAGTCTTCTGAAGAACCAAAACCAGCAGAGTTATATATACATCAAGTTTGTAAGGACATAATCTCTTACCCGTTGAACTCCCCTGTGCAACTGGCTGGACTAAAATTATTAGTGCACCTGAGTGTGAAATTTGAGGATCACCGTATAATTGCTAATTATATTCCAGATTTTCTTACCTTGTTAAACAAGGGAAGTGTCAAAACCAAGTTTTATGTTTTAAAAGTGTTTTTGCGCTTGTCTAAAAATCAAGCCAATACAAGAGAACTGATTAGTGCCAAAGTACTATCATCATTGGTTGCGCCCTTTAACAAGAATGAGTCAAAGGCCAATATTCTTAATATCATTGAAATATTTGAGAATATAAATTTCCAATTCAAAAAGAAGGTGAAGCTGTTTACCAAGGAAGAGTTCACTAAATCTGAGCTTATTTCCATATTCCAGGAAGCAAAAGAGTTTGGTCAGAAACTCCAAGACTTAGCAGAGCACAGTGATCCTGAGGTGAGAGATAAAGTTATACGATTAATACTCAAACTCTGAATGGCTGTATGTTCTCACAAAACCATGAACAATTTTTTTGGTGTTGTAATATGAAGCCATGCGTATTATAATTGTAAGTTCAATATTTATGTTATTTGTATTGATTGAAGGAGGCAACCTTATGGATACCAAATGATCTTGAGAGCTTGAATGTGTGTTGATTTTCATTGTGCTATATAAGTGGAGATATTTTTAGTATTTCTGCAACATTACCTGATAATGAACCTATTCATTCTGAGTAAGCTATACTTCTGTGCTTTATATTGACATAAGTGTATTCATTTGAGACTTTATTTACATGTTAATAAAGTTGCATGCTAAAACTGGTGAAAACATTGTCCTAGTTCTTCAGTTGAAGTCTAGTCAGAAGGATAAAGCACAATTACCACAAAGATGATAAAGGGCACTGTCTGTGTGTGTAGGAGGGTACAAACAAAACAAGTTTACATTGGTAGATCCTTTAGTTTCAACATGTTCGAAGAATGGAATCACTCCATACAAGAAGACAGGACCGTGCTACTAGATGACATCTGGGCAGATCTGGGGAAAGGGGTGAGGACACAGACCTAGGAGAAAAGGAACACAGATTCTTTCATTCCAGTCTGAGTCCCAGCACTTGGGTTCACCCTTTAACATAGGATTTCTCATCAGGATATCTTGAAGCTTTTTAACTCCCAGAAGGATTCCTGGTTCTCACTCCCATTCAGCAAAGCCATAGAAATATGGTTCTGAAAGGACCCAGCCCCACCATGCCCTCAAACTCTGGGTACCCCCATCAAGGTGCCAGGTTTACTGCTTCATTCCCTGTAGTCCTGGACCTCAGAGGAAGGTCTTCCTGGAGACCAACTGCAGAAGCTGCTTCATGGATAGTCATGCCTTGGTGACTGTTTACTCTCATCCTTGCTTTTGTTTGCTGGCCAATGCTTTGGGCTTTGTAATTTACACCTATCCTTGGTGGTAGCACCTTGTTTGTGCTGATCCCTTTTGGCCAGAGTTCATCGAGCTGAGCTCAGTGAGATAGCTACAGGATTCCAAAGTCCTTTAGGGGTGTGTAGTTAGGAAGAAATTAATTTCCCTAATTCCATTATCCTATCTATCTATTTGTGCAGTTTACAGAGCCGAAGCCATGTGGTCTATACTGCTTCAGGTCCTCCTGTTTATACTTAACAAAAGCTAGGTTCTGGCTAGGGGTTACTGAAATAGAATGCCAGAGTATAGATTGGGATCTGGGGTTACCTCTGCCTCCTTTGCTGTTACTGTCCCCTTTCCTTTACTGCCAAGAATTGGGAAATATAGATATTAGGATCAGTGTACAAATACTAGTCTTTCTTTTGAACTTCCTCTTGCTCCTAATTTTTGTATTTGGGGAAAGGCCTAAACTGAAAAATCTCAACAAGGTTTCAGGTACTCCTAGTTTTAGAAGCCATGCCTAGTTTTTCGGTTAAGGTCAGTCCTGAACCTATTTTTTATACATCTAGGAGTTAAAATGAAGGACAACTGGCTACACATGTGCACTAAAGGGTGAAAAAAGTAGGATTTTTGCAATGTGCAGTTGCAGCTCAGATGATTTTTGAAGTTCTTTGTAATTTTTTTTTTAAGTAGGCTCCGCGCCGGTGTGGAGCCCAACACAGGGCTTGAACTCACGACCCTGAGATCAAGACCTGAGCTGAGATCAAGAGTTGGATGCTCAACCTACTGAGCCACCCAGGCGCCTGTTTATAATTTGTTTTTTAATCCCCTGGAATTCCAGCTATGTGTACTAATTTCAGAGTTGGGGTCTTTACAATACAATTGGACCAGACCCTTTGGAAATATTCTCTGTCTCAAATGCCCTATGGAGCACACAATCAGCTATGGAATTTTCCATCGGCTAAAGAGAAGAATGAGTATGGGGTATGCAGGTATTTGTGTCAAAGCAAGAAGCTGATTGTCTCTCCTTAGGTGGGAATTATGGGAGACAGTCATTTCCCAAATTGTTCCTGGGGTGTGCTTGAAGTCAAAACCCTGTTGCTCATCCCTTGTTTCACTCCTTTCCTGGAAAAATAATTCAGGCAACTCCATGTGGTATCAGGGCTGATCCGATATTACCTCTCTTAAAATGTTGCTGCCTGGGAGTAAAAATCAGGATGGGTTTCTCATCTTTCCTCTCATGAAGTAAAGCAAGTGATCTTCCTACAACACACCTGGACTGTTAGCACACAGTGACCAAACTTTACTATACCTTTAATTTTAAAAGAGGAATTTTCAATGGGAATTCATCTATACAATATCACCAAATTCCCCAGCAAGGCTTTCAAAGCTGTGTATCCTTCAGCACCTTTCCATTTTTCCCATTATATCCCACCATGTGACCTACATTCAAGCCACAGTGGGCTATTGTTTCCTGACTACTATTATGCACTTTCCTGCTTTTGTGCAGTTGCTTAGGCTCACTCATTCTGCAATGCTTTTACAACTTTTTTTTTTCTTTTTTTGCTTTTTACTCATTCTTTTTAAGCTCAGCTCAAGAATGCCAGGTTGTTTTGAAGTCTTCCCTGACATGCTTATCCTCCTTGTCTCCATGTTGGAATTAATAGACCCTTCTGCATTTCCAAAGTTTTTTATTTACTCCTCTAATTTTAGCATTTGTGTCTTTTTTTTTTTTTTTTAGATTTTATTTATTTATTTGACAGAGAGAGACACAGTGAGAGAGGGAACACCAGCAGGGAGAGTGGGAGAGGGAGAAGCAGGCTTCCCACTGAGCAGGGAGCCTGATGCGGGGCTCGATCCCAGGACCCCGGGATCATGACCTGAGCTGAAGGCAGACGCTTAACGACTGAGCCACCCAGGTGCCCCGCATTTGTGTCTTTATACTATGCCTTGGAATCTTAGTAAGTTGGAGCTTGTGTTTAGAGATAGCATAGAGGGGGAAGCTTGGGCTTTGAGAATGTCTGAATTCCAAAGCCTGAACTTTAGATTATGTATAGTAATAATGATTATTAACATTTATACATTTATTAAGTGCTTACTATGTGCCAGATACCATCCTGTGTGCTTTACTTGTATTAACTCATTTAATTTCTAAAACATCCCTATGGAGTAGGTCCCCCATCCACATTTTACGTGTGAGAGAACTGAGATACTGATTGGGTAAATAACTTGGCCAACTTCATTTTCATTCATGTCTAAGTACCCTCTGATTTCCCTGTGACTTCATTGACCCACTGGCTGATTAAGAGTATGTTGTTTAATTTCCACATTTGTTAATTTTCCAGTTTTCCTTTTGTCGTTGGTTCTTAGCTTCATCTATTGTGGTCAGTGAAGATACTTCATACCATTTCAATCATTTTTAAGTTTATTGAGACTTGTTTTATGTCCTAACATGTTTGGAGAATGTTCCATGTACACCTGGGGAAAATGTGTATCTTGCTGTTGTTTTGTGGAGAATTCTATATATGTCTGATAAGTCTAGTTGATTTATAACACTGTTGCAACCCTCTGTTTCCTTTTTGATATTCTCACCAAATGTTCTACCCATTGAGTGCGACGTTGGAAGTCTTCAACTATTATTGTAGAACTGTCTATTTCTCCTTTCAATTCAGTCAATTTTGCTTCTTAGAGATTTTTACTTCCTGATGATCTCTGCTCTATTTTTACTGTTTTTAATCCCTTTCTATCTATAGGTTCCTCTGTATCTGCATGGGGGGAAAATATATATATATATATATATATATATGAAAAAGAATAATCATTTCTTCAACTCTTAACTCCACACACTTTTCCACCTACCATCCTATCTTTCTCTACCCTTTCACAACAGTGTTTTCTACATTTCTACATTGTTTTTTTTTCCTGCTTTCTCATCTTCTACTCAGTCCTCACACAGATACAGTCTAGTTTCTTTCTCTTTTCTGTACTGAAACTCTGCACTCAAAGTCACCAAAGCTCTCATCTTCCCTAAACAAAAGGGACAATTTAATTTTAAAAATATTTTATTTAAGCATGGTGTTAGAGATTAATGCTTATTTTCCACTTTTGATGTATCCTTCCATGTGGTGGGACTTCATTAGAATGACAACTCTTTTCTCTGCCCTCACCCTTATTCACTTTTATTTTTCCATCTTCCCTTTCTCCTTGAAAGTTTGCCTTACCACAAAGGGCTGTGTCCTACTTTGCTTTTCCATAATATAAGTTTTCATGTGTACATTGAAATAGATCCCCAGTTTCTAATTGGGTGGGATATTGTAGCAAATTCTTGGATTTATTTTTAGGAACACTATTGTCCAAAATTCTAAGTCACATTCCTCTATATCAAATTTGTCAGTAACATAGATTCTTTTATTCCCCAGCTTTACAGAGATATTATGGACATATAACATAGGTAAATTTAAGTTGTATAACATCATGATTTGATACACATATATATTGTGAGATGATTACCACTATAACGTTAGTTAACACCACCATTCCATCACATGATTACCAATTTTTTTGTGGTGATAACATTTAAGATTTACTCTCTTAACAATTTTCATGTATGTAATACAGTATTGTTAGTTATAGTCACCATGCTGTACATCAGATCACCAGAACTTTTTCATCTTATAGGTGGAAGTTTGTACCCTTTGACCAACATTTCCTCATCTCACCCATCCCCAGCCCCTGGCAACCACCACGCTACTCTCTATTTCTGTGCGTTGTTTTTTTAGATTCCACATATAAATAAGAACATACAGTATTTGTCTTTCTCTGTGTGGCTTATTTCACATGGCGCAAGGTCCATTGTTATTGTCCCTAAAGGGAGGATTTCCATTTTTATGGCTGAATAATATTCTTTTGTATATACACCACATTATCCATTCATCTTGTCAGTGGACGCTTAGATTGTTTCCATGTCTTGGCAATTGTGAATAATGCTTCAGTGAACGTGGAGGTAAAGATGTCTCTTTGAGATAGTGATTTTATTTCCTTCAGATATATATCTAGAAGTGGGATTGCTAGATCATATGGTAGTTATATTTTTAATTCTTTGAGGAACTTCCATACTGTTTTCCATAGTGGCTAAACCAATTTACCTTACCACCAACAGTGCACAGGGGTTTATTACTACCCGTCTTCCTCTTAGACATGGTTTTGTTACATCCTGCAAGTTTTGGTATGTTGTGTTTCCACTTTCATTGTTTTAAGATTTTTTTAAATTTACCTTTTGATTTTATTTTTGATCCATTGGTTGCTCAGGAGGATGTTGCTTAATTTCCACTTATTTGTGAATTTTCAGGTTTTCCTCCTGTTATCATCAGCTTTTTTTAAAGATTTTATTTATTTATTTTGACAGAGAGAGAGGGGGAGAGAGCCCAAGCAGGGGAGACAGCAGGCAGAGGGAAAGGGAGAGGCATGCTCCCAGCTGAGCAGGGAGCCTGATGCGGGGCTCGATCCCAGGACCCTGGGATCATGACCTGAACCGAAGGCAGACACTTAATGACTGAGCCACCCAGATGCCCCTATTTTCAGCTTAAAGAATTGAATCCTTTTGGATGCCTGGGTGGCTCAGTCCATTCAGTATCTGTCTTCGGCTCAGGTCATGATCCCAGGGTCCTTGCTCAGCAGGGAGCCTGCTTCTCCCTCTGCCTGCTGCTCCCCCTGCTTGAGTGCTCGCTCTCTCTCTCACAAATAAATAAACGAAATCTTAAAAAAAGTTGAATCCTTTAAGAACTTAAAGAACTGAATGATGAATCCTTTCATCATTTCTTGTAGATCTAGTGGTGATGAACTGCCTCAGCTTTTGTTTTTCTGGAAAATTATTTATCTCTCATTTATGAAAGACAACTTTGCTGAGTAATGTGCTCTTGGTTGGCAGTTTTTTTTTTCTTTCGGCACTTTGAATATATCACCCCACTCTCTCTTGGCCTGCAAGATTTCCACTGAGAAATCCATTGATAGCATGGAGGTTCTCTTGTAAGTTACAATCTTCTTATCTTTGCTGCTTTTAAGATTCTCTTTTTGTCTTTGACAATGACAAAGTATCCTTGAGTTTTAGACAGTTTTATTAAAATGTGTCTTAGAAAAGCTTGTTTTAGGTTGAAATTTGGGGCTGGCCTATGACCTTCATAAACTTGTATGTCCAAATCTCTCCCCAAATTTGGTAAGTTCTTAGTCATTATTTCTTTAAATAAGCTTTCTTCTCCTTTCTCCCGCTTTTCTTCTGGGACTCCAGTAATGCAGAGATTTTTTTTTAATGGTATCCCATAATTCATGTAGCATTTCTTCACCCTATTTCATTATTCTTTCTTTTTGCTTTTTACTGAAAGATTTCAAATGACCTTCAAATGTCTTCTTGTTTACTAATTCTGCTTGGTTGCGTCTGCTGTTGAAGCTCTCTTTTGAATTCTTCAGTTCATTTAATGTCTTCTTCAACTCTAGGATTTCTGCTTTTTTTAATGGTTTCTGTATCTTTATTGAACTTCTCATTTTGTTTATTTTTCTCTAATTTCATTTACTTGCCTGTATTTTCATGTAGTTCACTGAATATAAGAGGATTATTCTGAATTCTTTGTCAGACAGTTCATAGATCTGTTTCTGTAGAGTCAGTCATTGGAGTTGTATTAGTTTCCTTTGGTAAAGTCATGTTTCCTTGATTATTCATGATCCTTGTGGCCTTGTTTTAGTGCCTGCACATTTGAGGAATTAGAACCTCTTCTAGTCTTTATAGACTGCTTCTGCAGACAAAGCCCATCATTCAACAACTCATCCAGGGATTCTGGGTGGGCTATCCAGTGGTGTCCATGGTGGGCTTTCTGCTGAACTCTGAGTGGGCCGGTCTGGTGTCTGGGTAAGCAAGTGGGCAAATCTCATGCTTGTGTACATGGGGATCCACCTGGTGCCTGGGTCCAAGGAGGCAGGCCTGGAGCCTAGGTTCACTGAGGCCTAATAGGCACCAGGGACCACTGGAGTTGGCTTGATGTCTCAGCCCACAGGGGCCAATTGTGTACTAGGGGAAGCTGTGAGCCTGGCTTCACAGGAGCCAGCCTAAAGGCAGGGGCCATTGTGGCCGCTCTGGTGCTGGGGAAGGCCAGGCCCCTTGGGTATGTGGGAGCTATCCTTGAGGCTGGACCACAGAGGCTGGCCTGGTGCTGGGGCAAGCTAAGAGCCTGAGTCCATGGGAACTGGCCTAGAGTTTAAGTCTGCAGGGGCTAGTCTGGCACTGGGGTGGCTGGGGGATTAGGGCTGCAGGAGCTAGCCTGGTGCTGGGGTGGTTCAAAAGCCTGGGTCCGCAGTACCCAGCCTGGTGTTGGGCCCAGGTGGGAGCCTGAATTCATAGTAGCTGATCGGTTGCCTGAGGTGACAGGAGTCACCTGGGGCTGTGGGAGCTGGCAAGCATGAGGATATGCTGAAAGCCTGGGCCACAGAGCCATTCATGGCCTCAGGAGCCAGCCAGCACTATGGTAAGCCAGGAACCTAGGTGTGCAGGAGGAGCCTGCTATGAGCATGGGCCCACAGATACCACCCCAGACCACTGGGGCTGGTTTTTGCCAGGGTGAGCCAGAAGCCTGGGTTCATAAGAACTTTCTGGGATCCTGGTGCCACAGAAGCCACCTGAAGCCACAGGAGTTGGCAAACACCAGGATGAGTCAGAGGCTGGGGTTTGTGGGAGGCTGCCAAGAGTCTGTTGCTCTGGAAGCTCTCTGGAGTCATGGGAGTCACTTGAGCATGCTGGAGCTGATAGGCACTGAGGTGAGCCAAGAGCCTGGTTTTGCAGGAGCTGATTGTGAGCCTGGTATCATGGGAGATGCCTAAAGCTGTGGGTCTGGAAGGCACTGCAGTGAGCTAGGGGCCTGGGTTTGTGGGAGCCTGCAGAGAGCCACTTAGGGCCACAAGGGTTGACCTTGTGCTGGGACAGTTCAGCTGTGGAGTCTGGTGAAATTGGGCACTCACTTCACTCTCCATTTCCCATAGGAAGGGTATCTCTCCATGCTGGACTACTGGGTTTTGGGGGAAAGGTGATAGAGTTAATGTGAATCTATCTTTCCTACCCTCCTCAATACATCTTTTCTTATTTCTGTGCTTCACCCAGGTGCTGTCGTCCCTCAACTGGAATCCTTGGCTCTTTTGAAGGTATTTTTGTGCATGGATAGTTATTCAAGTTGGTATTTCTGAGGTGGTTGAGCACTAGAAAGCCCTATGCATCTGTGTTGCTGACATCACTCCCTACTTTATTATTTTTACTCATTTTATCTAGAGTATGGGTGGGGAAGAGGACAGATATTTACTTGGTCCCTCAAACCTCTAATCGTGCAATATCTTAATACATTCTGGTTTCAAAAAATTAAGCATCATAAATAAAGACCTCTTTGAATACAACTCCAATCCCAGTCTCCTTCCTAGAGGCAACACATATTGTCAGTTTCTAGAACTTTTCTATGCATTGCCTACATACAAAGATATGCAAGTATCCTGAGGATTTTTTAAAGTATTAAATTTTATCATAGTATTGTATTATTCTTTAACATTTTTTTCAATAGTATGATTTAGAGATTTTTTCCATGTAAGTATATATCTATTTCTTCTTAGTGCTGTATCAAATTTCATGTATTGCAATATCATTTTTGTTTCTCTGGGTGTTTCTGAGTAGACTTCTGGGTCATAGGTACTTTTCATTTTAATAGACATTTGAAATCTCCTTAGAAAGGGATTATATCATTTTACACACTATCAGTATATGAGAGTCCCTGGTTCCCCACACATCCACTAACATTTCTGAGTATTTGCATATTTAAACATATCTGCCAATCTGATAGATGCAAAATGGTATCACTTTGTTTTAATTAAAATTTTACTAATATTGAAGAAAATATATAAGTTCCATTAACTCACAGAAAAAAATCAGATGAAGAATATGAATTTCCCCTTTAAGAAAATACACTTGGGGCGCCTGGGTGGCTCAGTTGGTTAAGCGACTGCCTTCGGCTCAGGTCATGATCCTGGAGTCCCGGGATCGAGTCCCACATCGGGCTCCCTGCTCAGTGGGGGGTCTGCTTCTCCCTCTGACCCTCTTCCCTCTCGTGTCTGCTTCTCCCTCTGACCCTCTTCCCTCTCGTGCTCTCTGTCTCTCATTCTCTCTCTCAAATAAATAAATAAAATCTTTAAAAAAAAAAAAAAAGAAAACACAATTCAGGGGTGACTGGGTGGCTCAGTCAGTTAAGCGCCTGACTCTTGATTTCGGCTCAGGTCATGATCACAGGGTCATGGGATCAAGCCTCTCACTGGGCTCTGTGCTCTTCTCTCTCTCTCCCTCTGTCCCTCCTCTCTCTCTCTCTCAAATAAATAAATAAAATCTTAAAAAAAAAATACAACTCAATTTGTAAGCAGCTAAATGCTTCTTAGCAGCATTTGGGGGGCTATGGAAAAGTCTGAAAAGAAAAATTTTTTTTTTGCATGAACTTAAGATTCACAAATCCCTAGTATGCCAAGAAAAGATAAGAAGTGCTAAAAAATTTGAGAGTTTACTATTATGAGTTATAAGATATTTTGTTATTTTAATTGTTTCAAATATGTAGAGATACTGTTCAGATAATTATATAAATCATTAATATAAATCATCAATAATTAGTGTGATAAATGATGATTTCGCAGTAAGATCACCAAACTTTTCTAAAGAGAAGCGACACAAGAAGAAGTTATTAACTTATTTATATGTGGGGCAGAATAGAAGGAGGGGTGAAACTTAAAAGCTGACAGTAGTCAAAGATCAAAAAATGGAGCCAGCCTTTTTGTTATACAGACTATAAAATATGTTTTGTTTACCAGTCATAACTAGAAGCTTATACAGATAGGTTTCTGTTGTGATTGAAGCAAAATGTCAGTTTGGGTTGATCAAATTTCTCTGAAATACATACTTTTGTTCTGGCATCTTTGTCCCAAAAACTAAATGTATCAGAATATCCCGGAGTTGCAAGTATTCAATAAATCAATGGCATGGATATCTTGAGTAACTTAAGTATTGGCTTCACTACATCAATAGCAGGGTTTAGTGATTAATATAATGAATATAACATAATGAACATTAATATATTGAATACTGTTATGAATATATTGAATACTGAATTAATATAATGCATACTGTTTTCCAAAGTATTTTCCTTCAGCACTTTTTAGAGCAAAGCTATTAGGCTGACTCAATTTGGCTTTAAACATAGCAATATGTTTCAAATGGTGCCATCACTAAAGTAGAAAGACAACTCATAGCATAGGAGAAAGTATTTGCAAATTATATATGTGATATGGGTCTAGTACCCAGAATATAAAATGAACTCTTACCACTCAATAAAAAGACAAATAAAACAATTAAAAATAGGCAAAGGATTTGAATAGATATTTCTCCAAAGAAGATATTCAAATAATCAATAATGATTCAAATCAAAACCACAAGATATCAGTTCACACCCACTAAATAACTATAGTTCTTTAAAAAGTGAATAATAGCAAGTGTTGGCAAGGATGTAGAGAAACCGGAGCCCTTGTACATTCTGGTGGAAATGTAAAAGGGTACAGCCACTGTGCAAAGCAATTTGGCATTTTCTCTACCATTTTGACTTACTTCTTATTTTTTTCTGTATGTTTTTAGTTTTTTTTTCTTAGTGATTACTCTGGCAATTATAATTAATATCTTAAGTGTATAACACCCAGGTTTGAATGAATGTCAACTTAGTTTCAATAGTATACAAAACTCTGTTCCTTTACAACTCTGGTTCCCTCTTTATGTTATTGTCACAAATTAGATCTTTATACATTGTGTATCCATTAACACAGATCTGTAATTATAGTTTTATGCATTTGGCTTTTAAAATGCACTAGAAAAAAAACCAAGAAATGACAAACCAAAAATGCAATAATATTGGCTTTAAAAAAATTACTTGACTGTTTTAAAGCAGTTTTAGGTTTACAAAAAAGTTAAGCAGAAAGTACAGAAAGCTCCCATATACTACTTCTCTCCCACCACCCTTTCCTCCACAGTTTCCCATATTATTAGCATCTTGCATTGGTGTGATATATTTGTTACAGTTGATGAATGAATATTGCTACATTATTGTTAACTAAAGTCTCTAGTGTACATTAGTGTTCACCTTTTATGTTGTACATTTCTATTTTTTTTAAGTTGTGGTAAAATATACATAACATAATATTTGCCATTTTAACCAAATTTATGTGTATAATTCATTGACATTAAGTACATCCACACTGTGGTGCAACCATCACCACTGTCCATCTCCAGAACATTTTTTGTCATCCCAAACTGAACCTCTGTATCCATTAAACAATAACTTCCCACTCCTCACTATCCACTTCTGGTCAGCCACTTATGAGCACTATTCTATTTTCTGTCTCTAGAAAGTTGCCAACTCTAAATACATCATAAAAGTGAAATCATACAATATTTGTTACTTTGTGTCTGGCTGTTTCACATAGCTTAGTGTTTTCAAAGTTCATCCTTATAATGTGTCAAAATTTCATTTCTTTGTAAGACTGAGTAATATTTTAAAATATATATCACATTCTGTTTATCCATTCATCTCTGTGTATATTTTGGTTGTTTGCACTCTGGCAATTGTGAATAATGCTGCTAAGAACACTGGTTGTACAAATATCTGAGTACCTGCTTTCAGTTCGTTCGGGTATATAACTAGAAGTGGAATTGTTACATCATATGTTAATTCTGTGTTTAATTTTTTGAGGAACCACCATACTGTTTTCCAAAGCAGCTGCACCATTTTACATTCCTACCAGCAATACACGAGTTTCAAGTTCTCCACATCCTTGCCAACATTTGTTGTTTTCAGTGGTTTGATAATACCCATCTTAATGTGTGTGAAGTGGTATCTCATGGTTTCACTTTGTATTTCTGTAATGACTAATGATGTTGATCATCCTTTCATGTTCTTATTGGCCACTTGTATGTTTTCTTTGAAAAAGTTCCTATCAAGAGTTTGGCCCTTAAAAATAAACCCTTAAAATAGAGTTGTTTGGTCTTTTTGTTGTCATTGTTGAGTTTTAGGAGTTCTTTATATATTTTTGATATTAACCCCTTATCGTATTTATGATTCAGAATTTATTTCTTCCACTCTGTGGGTTGTGTTTTCACTTTCTTCAAAGGGTCTTTTGATGTGCCAAAGATTTTAATTTTGATGAAGTCCAATTTATCTATTTTTTGCTTATGTTTTTGGTGTCATATCCAAGAAATCATTGCCAAACCTAATGTCATGAAGTTTTTCCCTTTGTTTTCTTCTAAAAGTTTCAAAGCTTTAGCTCTTAAGTTTGTCTTTGATTGGTTTTGAGTTAATTTTTGTATATTGTGTAAGGTAAGGGTCCAAATTTATTCTTTTGCATATGATTTCCAGTTTTCCCAATACCATTTCTTAAAAAGAATATCTGTTCCCCATTGAATGGTCTTGATACTCTTGTCAGAAATTATTTGGCCATATATACAAGGGTTGATTTCTGGCATCTCTGTTCTATTTCACTGGTTTATATGTCTGTTTTTATGCCAGTACCGTACTGTTTAGATTACTGAAGTTATTGTAGGAAGCTCTGTGTGATATGTGGTTTATAAGAAATATATATTTGGTCTTTATCCATGATTCCTGGCTCACAGCTCCCAAAAGCCCTTGGAATTTCCTGAGTGATAAGAGCTATGGGGACATCTTTTGTCATAATATTTGGTCTCTTGTCCTCAATTCCTGAAATCCACTTTAGAGCCATTAACATGAAATGGGTATCATGTTATTCGTAACAAGTACCTTTTTACCACAATTGGGTTTATGTTTTTTTTTTTTTTAAGATTTTTTTTTTTTAATTTATTTATTTGACAGAGAGAGACACAGCGAGAGCAGGAACACAAGCAGAGGGAGTGGGAGAGGGAGAAGCAGGCTTCCTGCCGAGCAGGGAGCCCAATGTGGGACTCGATCCCAGGACCCTGGGATCATGACCTGAGCCGAAGGCAGACGCTTAACGACTGAGCCACCCAGGCACCCCACAATTGGGTTTATGTTAATGAGGTGACTTTTGGAAAGTACCTAAGGAGGGTGGCTGATTTCCAGAGGAACCAGCCATGTGATTAG